ACATACATACATACATACATACATACATACATACATACATACATACATACATACATACATACATACATACATACATACATACATACATACATATTAACTGGGCGACGCATGCACAGAGGCAGTGGGGGCTAAAGCTATTCCCCCCCACCCTTGAATGGTGCAATACTTTTTTTAAAAAAAGAAAGTCATGACATTATCCATTATTTTTCTGCTACATTTTTCTCCAGAGGGGGAAATAACACATAGGAGGCCTGAGGATCTTCAGAGGAGAGAAGGGGGAAAAAAGGATTTTCCTGGGTGAAGGGAGAATAAAAATAGTAAGAAAGAGTCTCAAGGAAGCCTCAGGTTGTGTTGCTCTGGAAATGTAGCATGCCAAAAGAAACTCCTTAAATGCCAAAAGGAACTCCTTACAGGTAACTATTACAATACCTGGAAAACAGTACATCAGAGTTCCAACAAAAAAAAAAAAACCCTAAATACAGAAACCTGGTAAAATCAGGAGATTTCCCCCAAGTAACATTCATCACTTCAGTTGCCCAGATTATATAGTCTGATGGATTACGAGTCAGCAGAGAGAGGATCCACTCACCACTCAATTACACTACCCTTTTACGACCTGGTTTGGCTTAGTCCCAGGTGGGCCAGTGCACTAATGGGAAAAAAGCCTCCTGTGGGTCTCTTCTTCTAATACCCTCTGAGCCAATTGCTCCCTGGTGCTTCAAGGAGACAAAACCTTGCAAGGTAAAGAAATGGAAAACCCCAAAGAATATTCAAAATCCTCAGAGTGCATAAGACACCAGATTTAGTACCTTCAACCCCTCCAGCTGTCTGAATGAAAATACAACTGTAAAATTTTATAATCTGATTGAAAAGAATTTTAGTAAAACATATACAGTAGGAACCCCCCATATCTGCTGGGGAATTGGTTCCTAGCCCCCTGTGGGATACTGAAAATAAGTATTCATAGCACAATCCCTGGCTCCCTCTTGTGGCCGGTTCTGCTAATACATGTGAAAATCTTTTTTTCTGAATTTTTTCTTTTTATATTTTTAATATTTTCTGATCGTGGATAAGTGAAACTACAGATACTGATCCTGTGGATAAAAGAGGTCAGCAAAAGACTTATAAATTCCAATAGAGTGATTATTCCATGACGAAGCCGCTGCTCTGGGCAGCTTCTGTCAAGTATTTCTTGGGGTGTGCTGAAGAAAACTAGGTTACAACCAGACTCCTTGCAGGTCCTTGCAAAGAAGAAAAACACAAGACAACAGCTGCTTCTTCAAAGCTTATATTACATATGTACAGTCTTCACAAAATACTCCAACAGCATGTCTTCAAGCAAATCTCCAACTTTCTATGTACACTATATAGTGCATATCAGGTAACTGTTACATACAGCTATGACCGCACCTTAGCTTTCCCCCACAAAACAACTTTTAAAGGGGGGAGGTATTGTTACATACAGCTATGACCTCACCTGTCCGTCACTGCTAAAGCTGTGAGTCATCTACCAATGGTGTGAC